ATCCACTGGGACCCCTGGGTTATAATATCATTCAAACGGTTTTTCTTCCAGAATTTGAACAGATCATGACACCAATGTCAAGTCCTCTTTGCAAGAAAATGTATTTGGTGCTGAATTCAAATTGAGAAATGCAGAAAATGCGCAATTAAAAATCATGATAAACATCTCACGAGAATTTAGTTATGAGTTATCACAGCAATTGTTGCATTGTTCAAACACCAAGTCTTTTAAGGTGATATATCATGTCAAATCAAGGAAGCAATTCAATTCAGTCCTTTAAATAAATGCAGTGCATTAATTTCATGTACTGGAAGAGGAAGAAGCGTTAGATCATTCAGTCCCTTGAGGCTGCTGTGCAATTTAGTAACTTGTGGTGGTCTAACGACTCCATATTCCTGCCATTTCCGTTAACTCCTAATCCCCTTATTTCTAAAGCGTCAATTTACCCCTGCATTTAAAATATTCAAAGACTGCATCCAGTACCTTTTAAGGAAAGAAGGTTCCAAGTGATGAAGCTCAATGCCGAGAAAAGAATCTGCATTTGAATGTTCAACAGTGACCCCACATTCAATATCTTCCCACAACTACAAGCATGATTTCCTAATCGAACCAATAAAGACAATTTCTGATCTTGTATTTTAACTCAATTCTCCTCTTACCCTTATAAACTTCAGCAGATACAAGACTACCCTGTCAAAATGATCCTCATAAGGTAATTGTTATTTGTTTATCTAATAAACATTCCACAAACTGTGAAAATTTATGCTCACGGTATTCAGATATTGCCTGACTAGTGTCTTGTATTACTGAAACAGCATCTTTCTATTTTTGGATACAATAAGCCTTGCAATAAATGTGTTCAAATCGTATTAGCTTTTCTATATTATATTTGCGTGCATAATTTTCTCTTATTCCTTCAAATGGAGCCCCAAATTGCTCTGCATTTCAGAAAATTTGAAATACTTATCACTTAGATATAATGCTTCCTTCTGATTCTTCTTGACGAATTAGAAAATTTGACATTTTATACTCCATTTTTCAAGGTTTTGTCTGTCTCAAACTATTTATGTCATTTTAAAAATTTCTTTATGGCTCCTGCCCACACCTTGCTTTCATTCTTGTCTTTGTACCTTCACCAAAACTATCAGCCATAAATTTCATAGATTTATTCAAGTCACTTTTCAAATTGGATAATATTGATGTCCCATATTGATCACTGTGACCCACAACTGAAGACACCTTTCCAACCAGGAAGAGCGTTAAGGGCTTGGATGGGAAGAATTTGTTAAGTGTGTTCAATAAAACTTTCTCAATCAATACTTAGATGGCCCTACTACAGAAGGAGTAAGACTCGACCTCTTCGTGGGAAATAAAGCAGGACAAGTGTGAAGATGCTGTGACTTTCAGAAGTTATTTTGTCCTTTTTTTTAAGACAGGTTTTAAGGCAGAGATGCAAGCTGTCTACCAGAAAGACTGGAGTAAACGCCTTGGGAGACCTTGAGTTTTTTTTTTAACAGCTTGAAGGGGTGTGGCCAGCTCTCATCGATCAGGATTTCTGCGTTTTGGCGTTCAGCTTTAAGCAGAAGTTACTGGGGTATAAACATAATTTGTAACTTGAGTGTATTTCTCTTCCTGTTACAATTTCTGAATTTTCTCTTGCTGTATTTTTGCCTCCTGGATTGGAGAACTGCATGTGAGAATCTTTGTCTGAATTTGCCTCTTTGCAAAGACCTGTGTTTGTGAGATGTTACTATCATGGAACATTTAATTAGTAATAGTTACTGTACCCATTATTCTGCTAAGTTTTCTAAAAGAGCTGTTATTCTAAATCGACCTTTCTTTGATTGTATTTTAATAAATAGTATTTAAATAAATTGTCCTTTCCTTAACGTCAATTAGATTGATGAGTCGATGCATCTGGAACAGACACTGCACATTTGCCTTTAAAAATAAGGAAATTTTTGGGGTCTAAGCCACATTCTTAAAGTATTTTGAGGAGATCTGGTCTGGTCCATTCACATATGATTGAGGTGTCCGAACGAGAAAGGAGCACACTGTCTCTTCGTGAAGTAAGGGAAACATTCCTTGTTCCAGTCCTATTCCAACCCCCACCGACAGCTCTTTCTCTGATATGATGTCATCGGTGCTGCCTCCCTTTCTCGTACAGAATTGGAAAAGTTCATTGACTTCCAATTTGCACCCTGCCTTCAATTTCACCTGGTCTATCTCGGACTTCTTTATTCCCATCCTGGACATGTCTGTTTCCATTTCTGGGGAGAGACTGACCACTAATATCCACGACAAATCCACCAACTCCCACAACTACCTGGACTATATGTCCTCGTAACCTGCTTCCCGCAAAAATTCCATACCATTTTCTCCATTCCTCCATCTCCATTGCATATGTTCAGCTGAGGCCAACTTTGACAAGGGAGACTGCAAAATGCTCACCTCCTTCCTCAACTGAAGATTCCCCATCACCATTGTCGACAGGGCTCTCAACCGGGTCCGATCCATCTCCTGCACTTCTGCCCTCACCCGCTCTCATCACTCCTGCAAAAACAATGTGTTCCCTTTGTCCTTACCTACCATCCCACCAGCATCCACATTCAGAAGATCATCAGACGCCATTTCCGCCACCTCCAGCAAGATGCCACCACCAGGCACATATTCCCCTCCCCTCCCTTGTCTGCCTTCCGCTGGGGCCATTCCCTCCTGGAAATCCTAGTCCACTCTTCCTTCATCTCCAACACACCACCACATTGCCACGGCAACTTCCCCTGAAACTTGTAAAGGTGAAACACCTGCCCATTTACCTCCTCCCGCAGCATCCAAGAGCCAAACGTATCGTCCAGATGAAGCAACACTTCACCTGCACTTCTCAAAATCTAGTCCACTGTGTTCCCTGCTCACAATGTGGAATCCTCTACACTGGGGAAACGAAGCATAGACTAGGTGTTTGCTTCACAGAAAATCTATGTGCTGCTCACCAAAAAAGATCCTGAGCTTCCTGTTGCCTGCCTCTTTAAATTACCACCCCATTCCCTAGCCAACATTTCTGTCTCAGACTTGCTGGAGGGTTCCGCTGAAGGTCAGCACAAGTTGGAAGAACAAAGCCTCTTTTTCCACTCGGTGACCCTGCAGCCTTCTGAACTGAATATGGAGTTCAATAAATTTAGGGCTTAAACTCTTCCATGTTCAGCCCCTACCCCACACACCAGGTCTTGTTATTACATAGCCTGCCATTACAAAATACCTGTTGTTTGCCACTACCCTTTACTCATTAACAGGATGAGGGCATCGCTGGCTCGACCAGCATTTATTGCCCATCCCTAATTGCCCAGACGGCAGTTAAGAGTCAACCACATTGTATGGGTCTGGAGTCACATGTAGACCAGACCAGGTAGAAATGGCAGTTTCCTTCCCAGAAGTACATGAGTGAACCAGATGTGTTTATTCCGACAATCGACAATGGATTCCTGGTCATCATTAGATTCTTAATTCCAGATGTCTTATTGAATTCAAATCCCACCATCTGCCGTGGCAGAATTCGAACCCAGGTATCCGAAATATTATCTGGGTCTCTGGATTAATAGTCTAGCGATAACACTACCAGGCCATTGCCTCACGTAACAGTGCCCATTAACAGCTATTCACTCTTCTAGCCAGATAGTTAACAACTCCTCTGTCTATCCATTGTTCTTCTCTCTCTTTGGGCTTTCTCCTTTACCTATTGTTTGCTCACTACCCCTTCCCCCATCCTATGGTCTGCATATAAACTACCATTTCCTTTGCTACCATTAGTTCTGAGGAAGGAAACCGGACCCACTGTGTTTTTTTTTTTCAGAGATGCTGCCAGACCTTTTCCGGCAACTTCTGTTTTTGTTCGACAATATGTATTTCTATGTCTGATACTAATAATGATTTAGTTTATTCTACTGCTATGTGCTACTATGCAATTCTGAATTGGAACGATGATGTTGAGTGAAACTAACGGGAGATTCAGAGGAGTCTGGTGAGACAGATAGAAATGTACTATTGGATGGGAATCGATAGAGACAACAAATATGCAACAATATGCTGTGTTGAAACATTCATTAAATAGATTGTAATAAGGACAAGACAAATATGATTTCTTGTACAGTACTTTTCAGTGACCTGTCAGGGATAATGATTTCAATGATCTTCTGTGCTTAAAATTCAATGAACCTTGTGGTGTGGTCAATTTTTTCTGTCTCTCCATGTCTATCGTCCTCTCTCTCTCTCTCACCTTTTTTACTATCTGTCTCGCGCTGTCTCTGTCTATCCACCTGCCTGCCTGATTCCACTGATTTCTCTCGTTCTGTTAGTTTATCTCTCCTTTCACATATGGATGATAATGGAATAGTTTAGGTTAGATGGGCTTCAGATTGGTTTCACAGGTCGGCGCAACATCGAGGGCCGAAGGGCCTGTACTGCGCTGTAATGTTCTATGTTCTATGTTCACTGACTGTGTGTCTATGTCTCAGTTTCTCTGTCTTCCACTTTCCATGTCGGAAATATTTCATCCTTTATTTTCCTATCATTGTGGATTTAAATTAATGTTTGTTCATCATTCATTGCTTCTCCATGTGCTCCTCTTTCTGTTTGCACCTGGCGCTCTACATGCCTCCATCTCTAGTCTTCTTAATACTGTCTGACACACTCCCTTTCTCTCTGCCTAACTTCTTCGATCTGTCACCATTCATTCTCCATATTTACGTCTCTCTATTTACATCTCACTATCTTCGTCTGCCTGTCTTTCCCCTCTCTCTCCCTGTGTCTCCCCACCTGCATATATGATGCAAATCAACAAATATGGTTACAACAATGGCGCTTCAAATTCAATACATATCAGTGAAAGATATGGTTTTATCTTCCAATCCCTTGTCACTGGTTTTGAAATCCTTGCAACATTCCTGGTATTATTATTATTATTGGAACATGGACCCGAATCTAAATCTCTGATTTCTCATTCACAGAAATCACTGTATTACTTAGGAATCCATTGGTTGAAGAAATCTGGATCAAGAGAAGTGCCACTCTGGTTTGCGAAGTGCTTTCTACAGATTCTGCTGGGGTAGTCACCTCTTGGATGGTGGATGGAAAGTTAAGGAATGAAGGCGTTCAACTGGAAGCAGCTAAAATTGATGGAAACCAATATCTGACCATCAGCCGCTTGACCAGTAGCGTGGAGGAGTGGCAGAGTGGGATAGAATACACATGCTCTGCAAAACGGGATCAAACATCGACCCCAGTATCAAAACGAACAAGAAAGACAAAAGGTGAATTTAAAAAATATATAATACATGTATGTACATATACATATCATTTTGTTAACGAATGGCAACGGAGGAAAGAATAAAATTGCCTTTAATTCTATTATAGTCGAACCAACTAAGCCACATCTCCGCCTCCTGCCCCCATCACCAGAAGAGATTCGAAACACCAGCTCTGCTACTCTTACATGTTTGATAAAAGGATTCTATTCTAACAAAATAAGCATTTCCTGGGAGAAAGACGGAGCTTCTGTGACTGCGAACATCACTAACTTCCCCACTGCTCTGGAATATGACCTGACCTTCAGTGCACAGAACCTCCTCATTTTACCTATACTGGAATGGAAGAGCGGAGCAAAATACACCTGTACTGCCTCACACCCACCTTCACAATCCACTGTGAAGAGAGTCATAAGGAACTTAATAGGTAAGGACAGTTTTTCAGGAACCATTCTCACCATTAATGCTTGGGATAAAAATAAACACAACGCAAAACTGTTACCAAATATTCAAAGATTCCTGAAACTTTACAATGCACGACTCTTCTTTGAATAAAACAACTTTAACACAGAGCACGCAGGTAGTTGCTAGACAGTAGAAGCAATAATATCCAACAATTATGCCACCTCAATCATGTGTGAGGACGGCTGATACAACCATTGATACGGGGGTGGAGGGGTTCTTGTGGCGCAGTGGTAATGCCCCTGGAGGCCTGAGTTCGTCTCATCTGTTGCAGAGTTGTGTAATAACTTCTCTCAATAGGTTGATGAGAAAAATCAATGAAGTTTATATACGACTACAGTTTGTATATCAACTTGACATCCCACATTTCTCACCATAGTGATGAAAAAAATTCACGTAAAAATGTGTTAGATGTGAGAGTTACTTTAAGTTTAGAACATTAAGGCTTAAAACCATCTCACCTGTACACAGGAAATACCGAGATTGTTTGTTTTAACAAAAGTCATTGTTAAACCTCCGATTTCTGTTTTTAACAAGAAATGATTAATTTTATTACAATTAGCTTTCTCACAACCCCATTCCCCTCCTGACATTTCGTTTTACTTTGAAGAAGCAGATACCACCAAAACCCTTCAGATGGGACTGATGTTGGAACGTAAAATGTGGCATACATATTAAGTAAAGACACGATAATATAGCCTAACTAACTCTGTTGCCATCTGACAACTTCATTTTAATCGTCTGCCAGATTGAACGCAGAGAAAGTGGACGAGATGAAGTCATGAATGCCAGCAGAGAAATATTCACACTGAAGGTTTGGAATGCGAGAAAGGAATATTAATTAATACGGTAGTAGTTTCTGCAATTTTCTCCTATCCAACATGATCGAGGCACTGGCATCATTGCAAGAAATGCACAAATTTTATTGCATGCATACAAAATAAAATGGTGCGATTGGAGCTGCACAGTAGACATGGAACATCCTTCAAGACAATAGATACTGGAACTTTCAGAGTTAATCGGTTATGCGAATACAGTAAAGGTTGTAATTTTTAAGTTAACAATATAAGAAGATCATTTCAGAATCTTCTTTGCATTTATGTTTTACGTGATGCATAAGGAAATGAACTATTCTTGCATTAAGAATGACCATTTTGCTCTAAGAAATCTAAAAGCATGGTTTCCCATGTCGTATACGCCCCGTTAAAGTTGACCTAATACTGACAAATATTAGTCTTGGCTATTCCCAGTATCAAAGTTAAGCTGTCAAAGGTATGTGCTTAGAATATTATAGATTTTCTCACTTAACACCTCTCAAAGTATAATTCCTATACCACCATCTTCAGAGAACGCCCGTTACGAGATGTGAATTGTGCAGTAAGTATCACATTTTAGTCAGTAAAAAATTTTTATGAGGAAATAGGACAGCAAGAGTTGCGTCAAAGGAAGGCAAAATTCAAAATGTAGACTGATATCAGGGGAATTTCATTGGTTGGACAGAGTAAAAATAATTTTGGGTCTGTAATAGGGGGCGTTAATAATATGATTTTCCTCATCTGGTATTGTATTCTGACAAATACAAACCACGCCGCAATAACTATCCTCTTGCATCAGTAACTGTAATAGTGAAAAGTGAAGCGCCAGAAAGGAGACATTTAGGTCCCAGTATGTCCAAGTCAGAGCTATTTCCAAATTATGCAGAATACTTTGCAAATATTACTGGAGATGTATCCATCGTAGTCAGAGCAAACGGAAACATCAAGAACAGGAGAACACAGCGTCTATTTAGCGAAGCCAAAACAATCTGAGTAAACAGATAACAGATTACAGTAAATAAAACATTCTCCAACTCTTGTTGTGTTTTTGAATTGATATCAACAGTGCATCCTGAAAAATGTGCATTCCTTATTCTTTTCAGACGATTGCAGTCGTCCAGACATCTCTGTCAATCTACTGAAACCTCCGTTTGAAGAGATCTGGACACAAAATACAGCGACTATTGTTTTCAAAATCGTTTATAGTGACTTAGAAAATATCAAAGTTTTCTGGCAAGCGAACGGGACTGGGAGAACAGAAAGAGTCGAGACGCAGAATCCTGAGTGGAGTGGAAGTAAATCCACCATTGTGAGCAAACTTAAAGTCAAGGCTTCGAAGTGGGACAGTGGTGCCGAATACACCTGCTTGGTAGAAGACAGTGAATTGCCAACACCAATGAAAGCCTCTATCAGGAAGGTAAATGGTAAATGGGGATAATACTGCAAATAAGAGCAAAATACCATGAAGGTCAGAAGTGAGAAACGAAAAAAAAAATGCTGGACAAACTGAGCAGGACTGGCGGAATTTGTGGACAGACAAAGAAGGTGAAGGTTTTCAGCCCAGTATGGTCTCCTTTCAAAAAGAGTAGTTTGTGTTACTATCGAGATAAAACTGGATCATTGACTGATTCAATAAACAAATATCTTATCAAAACATTAAATTTTTACATTATACAGTCAGATGCCTAGTAGTCCGGAATCCTGCCATTCTGCAAAAGTATAATGACAAACATGAAAACCTACAAGTAGGTCAATAATTTGTACCCCAAAAGCAGCAATCCTTTTGAAATATGTGATTGTCTCCATGTTTTTTTTTCTTTTATCCGGCAAAGTAAGGAATGTGAAATGGTCTAGCATTCAAAGATATTTGCACAGTCTTACAGGTAGGGCATACTTCATAAACCACTTGCATTATTAACAAAGAAATTACAATGTCGACATAAGACGGGATCAGTTAAATAAATATTGCTCTCTTTACGGTCAGTGAATTCCATCATCCTAAGATTTATGTCCTACATCCATCGACAGATGAGATTGACACTGAGAATTCAACTACACTGGTGGGTCTAGCCATCGAATTTTACCCCGCTGAGATTTACATTGGTTGGATGGCCAATGACATCCTTTTGGATTCCGGGTACCTGACCCAACTGGAGAGCGAGAAGGGGAATGGTTCCAGCTTCATCGTCAGCAGATTGAGACTCACAGCGGCAGAATGGAACAGTGACACCACTGACTCCTGCTTACTGGGGCACCCATCACTCAGCCGGGATTTAATCAGACGTACAAATAAATCTCACGGTAAACCAACATTAGTTAATGTTTCAGTTGTACTAAGAGACACTGTTAAATCCTGCACATAACTTGTGGTGATTGACTATTTGTTTTCCATGGATAGGTGATTGTCTATATGTCAATAACTGTTTTGGGAACTGAACTAATGCATTTTCAATTCATTGCACTGCACATTCATACTTCTGATCAGTGAACACTTTTGTAACAAAAAGAAAATAGCCACTATTTCAAATTCTATGTGCCGATAAAAGATAATTATGTTTAAAATCTGAAATGCAAGGACAACTTTGTCTTGTGAAGGTAATCATTCTGAAGATCGCTTGAAGAGTTCCACCCCGTTATTGAAAGAACAGGAAATTATGTTTGCATCTGTATATTGTTCCAATAATTGCAATAAACGCAGAATGAAAACTTTCTGACTTACTTATTCTTGGTTTCTATGCATTGTACTTTCACAAGGATTGTTTAGCCTTTGATTGAAACGTGTGTGATATCCATTTCTGATATGCCAGCGTTGCATCCTGCTTGCATGTGCAGAATTTCAGATCCACTAGGGTTGGTTCTGATCAGATCACATTTATCCTAGCCGTTTCTGGTAGAACTCCTGTGCTATGCTTGGCCTGTGGGGTATCTAGTTGTTAAATGAAATGATGCGAGGCCAACTTATTTAGTATGACAATTGCTCATCCAAATTTCTCTTACCTTTTCTTAACCAGTTTTGTCAAGTATTCTACTGGAGTGATGTCCAATCCCAGTCCACAGTTTTAGTGTTGCATCCTCACAGAGATCCGTATTTGGGCCCTGATCCACATATAGCCTACACACTGTCCCTGATTGACATCAGGTGAACTCAAATTGCAGTTCGGCACTGATCCCACATAACTCTCACTCACAGTTGTCCATTTCTTCTCTGTGAATGTCCAATACCTCTTGATGCGTGAACGTCAAACAAATAATGCATTGTCCTCTATTCTGGCTACAACCCCAGTTCGTCCCTTATTTGCACCATTGATTTCTCTGGCCATTCTGTGGCGAGGTTCACTTCGTTTTTTGACTCGACATCCTACAAATCTAGATGAATGTCCAATCCTTTTGCTCACACCGACAGATGGCTGCCATTTCTTTCAGTTTATCTGCTTTCAACAAGCTCAACCAGTCCTTTGGTACCTCTTGAGCCAACTGTTCATCTCTCTGTTTATCTGCTATATATCTTACAGTCTCAATAGTCTTAAATTGGCACAAATCTCGATTACGTAGCTTACGAATTTGCAGCAGTTCCCAATCATTCATTACCAACATGCTCATTGAGCTATACTCAACAATGTCTGTTAATTCTTCCCTTACAAAATTATTCCTCACTCACCCAAATTCCTCCACATCTTCTTCCATCACTATTAATGTGACTCCCTCCAATTTTAATTTCACTAAACCTTCTGCACCCGGGGGTTCTGGCCTCTTACGCATGCAGATTTTTATTGCCGCCATCATGTCCATCCTTACCTTCACTTAACCAGTCTTGGCAAATATTCTAATACAGTGATGTCGAATCTCACTCGTGCAGCAACACTACTGCACCCCCTCAAAAGTATATGCTTAGAACCCCATCCATGTATAACCTCCCGCTGTCCCTGGTTGATATCATGTGAATTCGGATTTCACTTAGACAATGAAAACATACACTTAAATACTATAAGTGGACTGAACTCTATGATGAATTACCTGATTCGATCAGTGCTGTAACGGTGTTGTGATATTTACGACCTGTATACAGACCATTTTTAAAGTATCATGTTGAATTTTAATATTCAATAAGCTGAAACTAATGGAGCAATCTGGGGAATTGTTTGGCAGGGTGGTGTTTAGGTTCTCTTGCACCTGCTCCCCCTCCCAAGCCCCCTCTCGAAAAAAAAGACTTTAATTTTAAAATGAGGAAGAGAATTTTTGGCAAATTTTCAGCGACATTCAAGATCTACCAGGCACAAACTTCGCATTGATTTTTTTGACTTAAGTTTATTATAGAATGGTGGTCTGAATACGATACACGGGAGGAAAGCAAATCGGCTGCAGTTCTGAAATTTCTGCATTGTCACAAAAGTCTACACCTATGATCAGGTGTGAAATAGCACGCTCAGGTCAACTGCTTTGATGAACTTGCATGGATGACCAGCTGTTCGTGAAAACAATGAAACTTTGTACATTCAGCAGTTGTCGCTCTGCCATGACATGAGATATTTACTATCAATGGATTTTGTATCCGAATGAGACACACAGCTTTGCTACTTAGATGTACATTTTCCCGTGTTGCAGGGCGTATTTGTCCATAAATAATTCACTGTTGAATCTGATGTGATGACTCTTCATGCTGTATTTCGTGATTGAGAGGTGGCCTTCTATTGGCTGTTCTGTATATCCATACGTGAGGCTGTCTCTGAGTTAGAAAGTACTTATAAAGTGGTATATGATATCTCGTCATGCAGTGACTCTTCCCGTGAATGGAAGAAACACTGTGCTGTGGATTTTCCCGCTAGTCCATGTAGTTGGGGGGTGGGGGAGGAAGGTTGTCAGTACGTAGAGCGGCTTCCTTTCCTTCTTTCAGGTCATGTTATGGGGTATGTGTCCATGTTTGATACAGCCTGTCAATCGCCGAATGATGTTACTACTGGAATTGGAATTTCTCCATGCAGTCTTGTGTGATTCACTGAAGAGGCGAACTGCTCTGTCATCATGTGTGGCTTTTATTAATACTCAAAAGTATCTCGTTTGTTGACGGATCCGTGGCTTTAAAAGTCTCCATGCCACATCAACAGTTTGAAGTATTACTTTTGAATTGGGCAGAGCTGCAAAAAACTTCGGGAATTGTCTTCTCCCTATGTCTCAAGTTCTCAATCAAAAAGCACAAAGTCGAAGTATCTGGCTTTTGCCATCTGAATCCCTTCATATCTCATCATCTGTTCCCAGATAAATTGATGCCAATGCACACATGTCACTGAAGTTCTGGTATCGCATGAGCGTATTAAAATGTTTTGCTTTTGAGTTGAGATGGCCACCCAATTCAGCTGTTGCTGAGAATACATAGCGTAGAAAGGCAATGGGAGACGAAAGCCCTGAATGTGAGCAAAACTGCAAATTCATTATGTGAAATAGTTCACTTTGTGACAAGTAAGGTACTTTTGCAATCATGATTGCAAAATCCAACCACCTGAATAAATTACAAATACTAATGCCTCCGAATGAAATTTACTGGCATCGATTCCGGATTTCTTAATAACGAATATTATATTGGCATTCATTAAGATTTAACTAAATTGGTAGAAGATTGTTGTGAGAGAAGTATCACAAGGAACAACGCTTGCACACTCGTTATTAATATTTTTATCGATATTTATGAGGACACCGTGTAATATTTCCAGAATTGTGAATGGCACATGTGAGTTGCAATGAGAATCCAAGGAAGTTCCAAGCTGACATGGGCAGTCTGGATATCTGAGCAAGAACAGAGCAGATGGAGTATCTTGTTGATTGAGTGTGAGGTTATCGACTTTGACTGGACGACTTGTGATGAAGAGTATTTCATAAAGGCCAAAAGTCGACAATTGTTGGTGCTAAAAGGGACTCGTAAGTCCGAATAGACAAGAAATTGAAATATAACATGGTACTGAGGAAGTTACGAAGAAGGTGGACATTTAAGGACGTTTTAAGGACATCGTAAGTGAATTTGAAAGCATTTTTAACTGTATCTTTCTTCAAATCTGACGTCTTGATAAGATTGCACTTAGATACAACATTCATTTTGTTCCCTTCACTTAAGTAAGGATGTATTTTCCTTCAAATAGACATTTAGATCACAAATTTGTGAGATGGTCGGACTGTCCTGCGAAAAGAGACTGAAGAGACTGGACCTAGTACCTAGCCAATGGAAGAATGAGAGATTATAACGTTTATCCAGCACGTGCAAGACGGAGATTTCTAGATGCTAATGCCATCAACGAAAATATGGATGTTTCGTAAAATAACAAGAAGTAGATGATCATCCACCATCTAGAATGGTGAACCAGGCTCAAGAAGCTGAACAGCCTACTCCTCCTTCTATGTTTCTCCGTTCCTATGGTCACAACATCTGGAAGCTTCAGAATCCAAGATAATCTAAACAAAAAGGAAATTAGGAAAGCAAAGAGAGGATGCAAAAAAAAGGTTGAACAAATTAAGGAGTATCAAATATATTTTCTTGGTAGTTTAGGGCAAGATGGTGAATAATGAAATGATTGGGTCGAACAGAAGTGAGCATTGTAACTGTTTTTATAGAATAGTTTGTCTTTGACTTCACAAAGGAGACAGCTGATACAGACAATACATAAACAGGTGTACAGCGAAATAGTAAATAAAATAATAACGAGAAGGGAAGTAAGATTCAGACTGATCTGCTTGGAGGTGTAAGAATATCTTGAGGTGAAGGGAAGTGAGTGAACAAATAACGGACATTTGAAGGATCATTTTCCAATCCTCATGAGATGCATGTGAGGTACCAGAGAATTGCAAGCCTGCAAATGTTGTTCCAGTATTGAAAATGATTTGATGGTGAATTATATAGTGATAGGTCGGTCAATCTGAACTCGGTGGAGCGCAAGTTACGAGAATCAATCATTAGAGATCAGATGCAATGTTACTGGGAAAGGTTTGGATTAATCAGGGAAAATTAGCAAGAATTTGAGAAGTGAATATCATTTCGTACAAACTTAATTGTTTTGTTTTTGGTGTGATGGCAACAAAATGATTCGTGGAATAGTACGTGGGTGGTGTCTAGATGGATATAATAAGGCATTTGACAAGGTCCAGCGTGGAAGACTGGTAAGAAAAATAAAGCACGGGATGCACGGGAAAGTAACAATTTTGGGAATGACACCGACAGGCAGCAAATGTTAATACTGGAGATTTTTTTGCGAATCAAAGATAGTCTCCAATGCTGTATGATATGACTTACTGTTGTATCACTCACTATTCGTGTGAGTATTAATGATTTATTAATGATGCGAGAGACCTGATTTGGATTTCGCTGATGACACAAAACTGGTGGTGTCGTTGACAATGAAGATAATGGCTGTTGAATGCAGGTTGATATCAATGATTTAATTTAGTGGTTGAAATGTGTTCACTTGGATTCAGTCTGAAAGTGGGAATTTATGCATATGGGGAGTGGAACATTGCATGTAAAAACACAGCTACCAGGAAGATATCAAGATGAGTAGAGCACGTTAGAGACCTCAGATATTATGTCCACGGATCCGTGTTTGCTGCATGACGGAGAGAAATTGGTGAAATAAAAGGCATGTGTGAGATGCTTTATTACTTTTGATGAAATATTGAATAGAAAAACGGGGATTTAATGCTCGAACCGTGTAAGATGTTTGTTAGATCACTGATGCAGTTTTGTGTAGAATTCACTTCATTACTGGAAGAACGTAATTGTTTGGGACAGAGCATAGCAGTGTTCAACAAGAATATTTTCAGGACTTTTAAGTTGTGGCAAGAAGGAAAGATTGGATGTGCCAGTGTTATTTTCCTTACAACAGATCAAGATGATGCCTTACTAAATTGAATAGTGCAAAATAATGAGGGGTTTATATAGTATAGGCAGCGAAGACGTGTGTTACTGTGGTTAAGTCAGGTGGAATTACATAAATGTGGATAGTATAAAGATTAGAAAAGTAATGCTACCATAGTCAAATTCTGTCATGAGAAAAATGATATCTGACCATCATTTAATCAGAGGGTAATCTTTAAGGACTACACAGGAAATGAGGGAAATAAGATATTTTTACCCGATGGTGGGGGTTGACTGGGATTTGTTTCCTTGTTTGGCGGTTGAGACAGAAAGCTTCTAATTATTTGTATTCAATCTGAACGTGTCCCTGAGGTGCTGTAACATGCAAGGCTACCTGCAAGACACTGGAAATTAGCATTAGAATTGACACTAACTAGATGTGGTGGACTGACTGGCGGTTTACTTTGCACAATTTTTTATGGCTCTATGATTCTACAAGATTTCATTCATATACTTGACCACAATATGGTTGATCGATCACCTCGGTCACTTCAAAATTGTCAGTAAAACTTCGTTAGTGCGAACTAGATTGGAAATAAAATGCATCATCCTGGATAAAATTATCAGTCAGTTGAAGAAATGTGCATCGATTATACGAATGGAGCCATAATTTAATACAGGAAAATAGCATTTAAATAACTTGCGTGCCATTTTTGACAAGGTAACAAAGTGAGCCCATGAACGTCAAACTGTTGACATGCTGACATGGAATTCCAAGAGGCAGATAAACAATGTTTCTCCGCAATGCAGAAGTCATGGAATAAAACGAAAATTGTAAAACATGACAGAGCGTTGTTTAAATGTCAAATAACAGAGAATATCCGTGTACTACTGAATTGAAAAATATATGTTTTAAACTGCTGAACAGGCACTGGTTAAATCTTCAACTGAGAGTTGACGCCTTCTTCCCCATCTCCACGCGTTGCCCTTATCATGTGATTCGTGATCCACTTAGTTATATAATTAGTCCAACTTGCTGTACAGAGCAGTGCCAAGTTTAATCCATTTAAATGAATTTTCATTAATTGCTGGTATCAAGAGGAAAAATATGAATTATTGATCATCAGATGCTCTTGTCAGGCTCACAAAGTATTGTCTTCCAGGACGTAAAAATCGCAGTTATATGTGCCATTGACTAAATTCATAACAGTGCAGAAAAGGCCCTTTAGTCCATCAAGTCCACACCGATATAACTAACAATAAAATTGCATTAATCCCAATTTCCTGCACTTGTCCCATGTCCTTGAATGCTATGATATTTGAAGTATTCCTCCAAATATATTTTAAAGTTTGTAAGGTTTCCAATCTCCACTACCTTCCCAGGAAGTGCATTCTGGATTCCCTCCACCCGCTGAGTGAAGAAGTTCCTTTATTTTCCCATAACCCCTCCAAATCTTACCCTAAAACTATGCCCACTCGTGATTGACCCCTCAACGGAAGGAGACAGCTGCTCTCTACCCACCCTGGTCATGCCCCTCAAAAATCTTTTACACCGCCGTCATATCCCCTTTACTCTTTTCTGCTTGAAGAAAATAATCCAAGTCTATCTAGTCTCTGTATCATTCAATTTCTCCATCCCAGACAATATCCTGGTGAACCTACTCTGTACCCCCTCTACTGCTACCACATCCTTCCTGTAGTGAGCTGACAAGAACTGCACGCTATACTCCAGTTGGGCCCTGAACAATGCTTTGTACAACTTCAACACTACCTCCTTGCTCTTCAACTCAATACCACAACTGATGTAAGCAAGTGTCCCATATACTTTCTTAACGACCTTTTTCACATGTTCCACCCACTTCAGGAATCTGTGAATAATAATGCCAAGATCCTCTGTTCCTCTAAGCTACCCTGTATCCGGCCATTCATTAAAAGCTCCATCATCTTGTTTCTTCTTCCAAAGTAGATAATCTCACACAGAGTTAAATTCCATCTGCCACTGGTCTGCATGTCTGACCAACTCATCCATATCTTCCTGTAACCACAACCACCTTTGTAATTATTAACCACTCTACCAATTTTGGTGTTATCTGTAAATTTACTTAACATTTACCCCCACAGTTTCACCTATATCATTTATGTATATAAAACAATAAGGGCCGTAGTACTGGTTTTGTGGCACACCTTTGGACTTCAGACTCCAGTCACCTCAAACAGACTTCTACCACTACGCTCTGTGTCCTTTTACAAAGTCAGTTTCTGATCCATCTCGCCAAATTTCCCTGAATTCCATGTGCTTGAACCTTCCTATTCACTCTCCCATGTGGGACCATGTCAAAAGCTTTGCAAAAGTATATATGGACGATATCAACTAATCTCCCCTCATCCACATACTTGATCACATTTTCAAAACAGTCTAACTAGTCTGTTGGGCATGGCTTGCATCTGACAGAGTCTTGCTGATTATTTTCTGCTCTCTTTTGCTTGTTCTCACAACTACGTAATCTACAGAGTTATGAAAATCCCATGATAGAGCATCAATTCAATTTTCAAGTTCACTTAGTCTAATGTGTCACATTCTTCATGATTGCAGTATTGTGGTATTGCAGAAACTTTGTCGATGTGACTAATTTTATAACAAAATCCATCCATTTGTTTCAGAAACCCCTGAAATAATTGAACATCCAGGAGACAATGACGTTGAAGAATACGAACTAGAAAAAGTTGGTGAAGGTGCCAACAGCTCATTATCCGTAATGGCTTTCTTTATCCTGTTTATTCTCAGTATGCTGTACAGCACATTTGTAACTGTCCTTAAAGTAATAACACATTTCAATCGCAATGTGACATTGTGTGAGCCCATTACATTCACAGATGAGGTGTCGCTAAGCGGCACATAATAATATATATGTTTTACTGAGGAGTAGTTACTCCTATACAAAAGAATGGCATTGGATTTCCTTTGTTGTCGCTGAGTAACTAACTCTCATCTTGAATAAACCTCCTAAATATAATCATTTCACAGAGGAATGCAAGCAAATATGTGGCATTTAGGAACCAAACTATGTCAGCAATGAAATAGTGCTGAATTTATAGATTCTGCTCATAGAAGAAAACAGGGGCAAAAGAGTTAATTCATTCCTATTGGTAATAAACCAGAAACGGTGAAATATATTGAGACTAGAGAGTATAAAGATAAAGCAAAGATACCATGAAGGAATGGGGAAAGCATCAAGGAATAATCGGTGATGGATCACTGAAGAATTTAAGAAAGCTTGGGCACGTTTACACTTAAGAATAAGAGGCGACGTTATTTATAATGTACAAGAATTTTACAGCTCCTGAGGTAGTAGATGCAAAAAGATTGTTTTCCCTGGCGGGAGTGTCAGACAGCCATAGAACACAGAAAAGAAAATTTGACCCATCGAATCTGCATCAAACTAGCTACTCCAATCTCACTTCCTAGCATTGAATTGAATGTTATGATACTTGAAGTGCTCATCTACGTTCATACTAAGTTTCTCACTTCAACTACACTCCCAGATAATGCATTCCACATTCGCACCATCGTAAGACTGAACAAATGTTTCATCAAATCCACTTTAACCCATATGTCCTTCATTTTTCAATTATGTTCTTTCATTATGGACCCCTTAACTAAGGGAAACAGAAGATTCCTATCTATACTGTCCATGCCACTCATATTCATATACTCTTCAATCAGGTCTCCCTTCTGTTTTCTCTGTTGTAATGACAGAAATTTTCCAATTATGTCCTTTCATTATTGCTGCTTTAACTAAGGGAAACAGAAGTTTCCTACCTATTCTGTCTAAGCCGCTCGTATTCATAAACATCTCAATCAGGTCTCCCATCTGTTTTCTCTGTTGTAAGGAAAACAACCAGGAAGCTACAGACTCTCTTCATAACGAGAATGCTTCAGCTCTGGTGACTCGCCTCCACACTCCCTCCAGTGCAACCACATCCTTCTGATAGTGTGGCAACCAGAACTGCACACAGTACTCCAGCTGTGGTATAACCAAAGTTTTGTAGAGCTCCAACATAACCGCCATGCTCTTACAATCTTTACAATCTTTACAATCTATCCTGATAAAGGCAAGTGTCCAGTATGCCTTCTTACTATATTAAACTGCTCTACCACCTTCAAGGATCTGCAGATAAGCACCAAAGATCTCTTCCGGTGGCCTGTCATTCATTGTGTTCTCTGTTGTCTTGTTATTCCCTCCGAGGTCATCACCTCACACTTTTTTTAGTTAAATTCCATCTGTTAATGATGTGTCTATCTGACCAACCCGTATATACATTCCTGTAACCTAAGATTGTCTTCCTCCCATCAAGACAATCTTAGTACCATCTGCAAACTTACATATAATCCCCCGTACATTCTCATCTATGTCATTTACATATCATGAGCAATAAGGGACGCAGCAGTGATCCCTGTGTAATGCTACCAGACACCAACCTCCAAACACATGAACAGCCTTTTACTACACTCTGCATCCTACCACAAAAACAAGGATGATACGCTAGGGTCAAAAGCATTAACCTCAGAATTAATGAGCGCATATTTAAGACATAGATGAGGATCAGTTTCTCATTTCAGAGGGTAGTGAATTTGTGGGATTCTTTAGCTCAGAGAGCTATTGAAACTGGATCACTAAATATATTCTAGGCTGAGATAGATTTTGGTGGTGGAGGGGTGTTTTTCCGACTGGAGTGATGTGAGGTGTGCCACAAGAATTAGTGCTGGGCCCATGATTTTAATTATTTATATAAATGATTCGAATTTATGGCTACTAAGTTTACAGATGACACCAAAACAGGTGGTGTAGTGGACAGTGAAGAAGATTATCTCAGAGTACAACGGGACATTGATCAGATGAGCCAATGGGTTAGAGTGGCATTTGAAGTTTAATTTAAATATCTGTGAGGTGTTGTGTATTGGTAAGCCAAATCAGGGCAGGGTTACACAGGAAATGGCAGGGCCCTGGGGAGTGTTAATGAACAAAAATGCCTCGGGGCACAGGTGTACAATTTCTTGCAAGTGGAGTCGCACGTAGACAAGGTGATGAAGAAGGCGTTTAGCAAATTTGCTTTCGTTGGTCATAACATTAAGTATAAGAGTTGGGATGACACATGTGGCTACTTTGGTACAATGTGCGCAGTTCTAGTCGATCTTCTGTAGGAAATATGTTCTTAAACATGAGAGTGTGTAGAAAAGTTCGACAAGTATGTTGTTGAGACTAGAAGGATTGAGCTATCAGGGAAGGCTGACTTTTTTTCTCCTGGAGATGCTGAGTGATAATTTTCCAAAGGTTTATAAAATCATGACAGCATGGATAGGGTGAATAGCCAAGGTCTATGTTTCCTAGGGTGAGTGATCCAAAACTAGAGGTCATAGGTTTGAGGTAAAAGTGGAAAGATTTAAAAAGGACCTCATGGGTAACTTTTTCATGTACAGGGTGTCATGTGCATGGATAGAGCACAGGAAGAGGTACAGGCGGGTACAACTGCAACATTTAAAAGACATCTGGATGGTTATATGAATAAGGATATTTAGGGAGATATGGGCCAAATGCTGGAAAATAGGCCTGGATCAGATTGGGGTGTCTGGTCGGCATGGATGAGTTGGATAGACAGGTCTGTTCCGTATAACTATCTGACTCTAAGTAAATCAAGGTTTGGGGGGAAACTCAGGTAATTGGATTTGAGGATAATCAGATCTGCACAATCAGATCTGTAGAACTCGGTGAGCTGATTGGCCCGCTTCTGTTTCCACATTTTATTGCTCTATGGATAACTGCGAAGAGATGAACACAACATCTAAGAAGGAGAAGAATAAGAAACAATCAGAGAACATCCCAGGCCAAACATCAGTGAACTCAGAGAACGAGTTCATCAATAACGTGGCCAGTGATCACAAATTTCAAACCTGAGAAAACATATGCAAGTGGTGCACCACGGTGAAAGAGGATAGTTATTTTCAGTAACAAAATTGAGGTAGATATATTTTTCCTCACATATGACGATGAAGGAGCAGACGTTGTCTGCCTGATTGGTGGACGATGAAAACTTTCGGTGAGGTGAAGATAATGGTTGGTTTAACTCACCTGAGCGAGTTTTACATTTACACAAAACGATTAAAGCCGACTATAAGATGTCCGTGAGAAGTTACAACACAGAAGCATAAGAAGATGATTTTAAAACACCGCCCACTTTCACCACTCATATAGAAAATGGCTATTCCTTAGTGTCCCATCTGAGAAAAAAATATATCTATATCATTTTTTTAAGTGGGGACAGTGCTGTCGAGATAATCTCACTGGATTTGTAATCCACCAGCCTTGATGAATGTTCTGTGGGTATTTTTGTTCAAGTACCTCGGTGGCAGCTCATGGAATTTGAATTCGATTAATAGTTCTGTGTTAGCAAACTAATCTCAGAGATGTAGATCATTAAACTTCCATAGAATGCTGTGAAGCTCGTCTGGTACAACAATCTCCTTACGCACTGTGACCGATGTGATCGAAACCCACAGCATTATCATTGAATCTTTCCCTGGAATAGTCAAGCAAGACATTCAGTTCAAGTGCAGTTTCTGTGGGCAGTAAATGCTGACCTTTCCAGAGATGCACATTTCCCCGAATACAAGATAACATAAATTGGCCCCCAATATCCACACAATTTTGAGGAGATGAGTTCAATATCTCCGGTATCATTATGTGAGAAAATTCTTCACCAAATCACTCCCTAACAGATCAGCGCTAATTACGCTGTTATCCTTCATACTTCTGTACTCTGTGATCATCATCATCATCATTATCATCACCAGATAATGAAAATGGAGTTACCACCTAAATATATCAGTTTCATGCATCTCATCAGTTGTCTACTTCACCACATTTCTCGACCAACTAATTTCAGCCACCCTGACTAATTCATCTTTAATAGAAATTTTGGCCTAATAACTGCAACGAGCCCTCATACATGTGCTTTCAGGCACGGCGTCATTGTGGTGACTGTGTTATGCACACTTTACAACCAATATATGCTTCTTGCTGTGCGGTGTCTCGAAAAAACATAAGATTAAGAGATTTATGTAACTGTAGCAAAATGTCTCCCTTTTTGTATCCCACCCTTAGCTTTGAATAAGGAACCAACATTCTCTTCATCAAAAACAATCAAATCCAAACATTCTGAAAAAGGGTCACTGCACACAAAATTTTAACTCTGTTTTATCTCCACAGATGCTGACAGACCTGATGAGGTTTTTATTAGGCATTTCTGGTTTCTTGTTTGTTTGTTTTGTTTGTGATTTACAGCATCGCCAGTTCATTGGTTTCTATGGTTGATGAACATGCTTTGTCTGAGAAATGAGGCATTCCTGCATTCCAGCTGTACTCTCGGCAAGTAGGTCAAAAACTCATTTCACAACGCAATCGATTGAAGTAGAGAAGTTGCTTCATAGTTTTTTATTTGAAAATGTCCAAGGAGCATGCAAAAGTCATATTGTAATTTTTAATTTTAATCTCTTGTACGTTAAACAGTCTCACACAGACTTAGGTAGGTTCTTCCAGGATTTCCAGTTCTAACTTTGGAAATTTGATATGCAATAGTTTAATTGCATATTCTATTCATTGTTGGATCTAACTTTTTGTAGAGTAATACCTGTATTATCATGACTGCCTTATATGATGCAGGGTGTGCTGCTACATTTTATTTTCATGAACCAGCCTCTGAAACATGTTATCCTCCAGCACCACTGAAACCACGCTCACTTTGTCAACTGCAACCATAGTTTTCATTGAAGCAATTTCAAATAACAGGGCAAATGTAGAATGATGATGTAGAGTGAATCGGGGCTTCAGAATATTCGGTGTTT